AGTTGATTTCCTGAAGCTTTACAAGAATATTTAAGTTTACCAGAAGAGACAAAAATTTCAGATATGTTAGCATCACCACTGTTTGTAATCGATACTGAAACCCGTACTATAGGAAAGGCAGACTCACACCTTTAAGTCATACTAAAGGCTTGGGGACCTAAAATGATTTTGCTTAGAAGCATGAACACTCTTTCCTCTATCCAGAAGACTGGTGTATGTAGATCAGACAGATGCTTTTAGCATAATGAGAAGCACTTTTAAGTCTATACTTAGAAGACAACCAAAGGAAATTTAAAATCTTGAGCTTGTGACTATGATAGTGGAAGTCATTACTCACCAGGGCTAGATTAATAACTTATCAGAACTGCATTGGTTAATGTAAAAAGTCAATTTTGAAGTCTTAATATAACAATAGCATAGGGAGGGAAAGAAACCTGAAATTTTTAATTTTTACATATATCTTAAGTCATATTCTTTTTTTGGTGGGGAGGTTGGTATGGGGTTTTTACAGGATTTCTCTGTGTAGCTCTGACTGTCCTGGAACTCACTCTGTAGACTAGGCTGACCTTGAACTCACAGAGTTCACCTGCCTTTGCCTCCGAGTGCTGGGATTAAAGACATGTGCCACCACCACCCGGCTTTAACCACATTTTTATAACTTTATACATTTATAAAACATTTTCTTAGACCCTCACAACTCAAGTTTTCTTATCCTCAGAGCTTACATAACCTTTACATTTTTTTTCTATCCAACCGTTGACTGTGAGACACAGGTGGTTGATTACTGAGCACAGTTGTTGTGAATCGAGTTCCTTTAAATAAAGAAATAATAAAACGTTGTACTGAAATCTGTTCTGGGAGTTTCTCTCTTTTTAGAGTCTGGTAACATGGTAGACTGTCTAGACCTTGTAGTAGCTTTAGGATCGTGAGGCCTGAGGTCTGATTTTTGTGAAGAGAACTGAGAAGGTGTCTGAGTCCTGGCTGCTGCTGCTAAACTGACAAAGCTACCACTAGGCTAGTGATCAGTGCCGTTCTAAGAAGAATGGATTCACCAGTGTGAAAAGGAAATACAGACCAGCAGTTCCTGAATCTATTAGAAATGACAGAGACTTCCCGGCCCCCTGGACAGTCAGTCACTCTAGGTTCCTCCACGATCATTGCGGGCAGAGGTCCCAGGGCAGTTTCAGTCTTCAACCGCCAGACCCAGAAGACCTGACAGACTTTGCTGTCTGTCAAGAGGAGGAACTCAGGGACCAGCCTACCTTGTCTAGGCAAAGTGGGGCAATCAACTCCCCCGTGTCCTACTTGTCCACAGTTTAGACTGGGTCCTGGTGACCCGTGAGGTGAAGGGCAGTTTTTCACCCCATGGCCAGCTTTGCAACATTTAAAGCAAGCTTCAGGCGGAGTTTTTCTGTGCCCATCAGCTTCTTTGGAGATTAGGGCTACTGCCAGGAGCTGATGCATCTCTCTATCACAGGAAGCCTTTTTATTAACCATTTTAAAGGCCATGTTCAGCAGATCTCTGAAGAGTCTGAGGACCATTTATCTATTAAGTATATCTAAACAACAAACTGTTTCTGGTTACTCGTTTTAGGCTTAACTTTGAAAACATATACAGGAGGCTAAATAAAGTTTGTTCCTGTAATTAATTACATCAGTAATTAGCATGACTACAAGTATAGTTCTGAAGACACTAAAGAATCTGGTCATCTATAAAGTGACTGACAATTATCTAGCGTGTCTTAATTATCCTAAACAGTTTGCAAGTAATTATTTTCATAAGATTAGGGTTTTTTCAGTGTTATTCCTGTTAAATTTGAGTCTTAAAAGTAACACTTTTTGAATTGAAGTTCTTTTAATATCAAAATAAAACTTTTAACCTTAGGAATTTATGAAGCAGACCTTATTTAACAAACACATGTGGTTACTTATCTAAGTTTTTTCAGGAGCTTGGCACTGAACAGTTAGCAAAGACATAAGTAGTTAGGTGGAAATTTCAAAGTCAGCTTTCATTACTCTGAATAGAACCTTTATAACTAAATTTTATCATCATTTACAGTATATTCTAAACCAGAGTCAAATCACATATGTAGTATGTTGTATATAAGTTCAGATGGTGCGGAACATTATTTCCCTCCCCTCAGCTTTTTTTTTTTTTTTTTTTTTTTTTGAGACAGGGTTTCTCTGTGTAGCCCTGGCTGTTCTGGAACTCGCAGAGATCTTCCTGCCTCTGTCTCTTAAACTCTGGGATTAAAGGCCTGCGACACCACTACCTGGCTATTTCCCTTTCCCTTAGGCTTGTTTGTTGCTTGTTACCTCCCTGGTCATGAGTAATAAAAATGTCCCCACCCTGGATGGCACTATACTCAAAGTGAGTCCTCTACTCTCCCCCCAAGTGTACCCCGTTCAAAGCAGAGTGCCATGTGGAGACGTGTTCTGTCCCCACTCTGCTGCTGGGGCAGGCCAGGGGCACCTTGAAAATCACCGCAGAATGAGTGACCCACACCCGTGGCTGTTTGGAAACAGTGCCTCAGTGACCCAGGGTCTCAGGGCCATTGTTGCAGGCTGTGTCAAAAATCTAGGAAGCAAGAATCGGTGGGTGGAGAAGGGGTTTGCTTACAGTGTGGGCAAGAACTGGAGGGGGAGACAAACTTGGCTTCTCTCTGCATTGCTAGAATTCTAGAAAGGATGAATCACCGGCTAGGAGCTCCGCGTGTACAGAGCTAGCCATGAGGTGAGCTCTCACAGCTGCTAACGACAGCTCTTGTCGCTATCTGCTGCAGGCTTCCAGCCCATGCCCACCCCTCTTCCTGGATACAATGTCCATATTCTTAGGACCCCTGTGCCCATTATAGAAGACACTAGTTGTCTGCATCAGCTCTTGTTCTGAGTAGGAACTCGCTGCGGCTTGTAGAATTCAACTGACCAAGCCTCTTCTCGCTGGCAGCCTCTGGTCCCCACCGCACTCCCTTCTGGCATTTCTTGGGATGAAGCCCGGCGCCCAACCTTACACTCAAACTTGCACTTTACTACTGTCTGTCTGTCTGTCTGTCTGCTCCCGGAAATAACCAAGTGAAGAGCGTCGCTGCCACCCAGCTTCCAGCTCTCCTGCAAAGTGACAGGGGCCAGCTGTGGACTTGGCTGTCTCTCCCATCTCTGGTCAGCTCATTTTCTCACGCAGTACCTTTAAGGTCTCCACCCCACTGTCTACCCTTTCAGCACCCAGGTAGACAAGAAGCCATCAACTCCCTCACCATTGTGCAGTTTAGAAGAAGACAGTCACACCAGGTGGTGGTGGCACATGCCTTTGATCCCAGCACTCGGGAGGCACAGGGGATCTCAGTGAGTTTGAGGCCAGCCTGGTCTACAAAGCAAGTTCCAGGATAGCCAGGAATGTTACACAGAGAAACCTGTCTCGAAAAAAAATTTTTTAAGTCACAAAATACAATGTATAAAATTCTCAAAAAAAAAAGAGGTAAAATATTTTTAAAGGTTAAAATTTGAATTTAAACGCCCCGGCATCCACTCCTCAAGCCTCACTAAGTAGTTCAGGCTTGCAGCCCCTGCCTCAGCCTCTGAGCACTGGGATCACAGGCCTGCACCAGCTCTCTGTTTCCATTCTATAGGCACTCTAGGCCAGGACCCACGTCTGCGGCACTGGGAGAAGGGCGGGAACCACACAATCTTCTGAAGGCTGCCAGTTGCATAGAGGGAGGCAGCTGTCAATCGACCAGTCGCATGACCAAAGGCAAAGGGACTTCGAGACAGGGGTGGAAACTAGAAAACTGGGTCTGAGAAGAGTTGGACTCCCTCTCCTCAGGGAGGCCAGGAAGGGCTTGTCTGGTAAGTGACCCTGGAGTTGAGAGAAAGGATGTCGACAAGGGCCTAGTCAATGAGGGGCTGGCAGAACGTGTTTCCCCAGAGGAAACAGCAGATGCAGAGGCTCTGTAGAGGGGGCATGATGGGGAGTGGGGGGTGTCTGGTGAGGGAAGGGTCTACAAGGGATGCAGGAGTTCCCTGCAGGCCCTCGTGGGCTGAATTAAGGTTTAGGTTTATCCTCAGCACAGTTACGAGATATTGACCATTTTATCCGGGTTTAAAGAGCTATGCCCAGTCTGACTTAGCAAGCCCGGGTCTGGTCAGCGTCTTAGTACTATAGATTTCTAAGGCAAGGGTTCAGATGCTTTTAGTCACCATAGCAATGGCGGTGTGGATGCAATCAATTATGATAATGCAGCCACATACTTGAGCACTGGGGGTGTAAAGGGAACCGGTTCTCGGTGAGCTTTGCTGGAAAACTTTCTGCCCACACAAGGGGTCTGATGTGTGAGAACAGTCCTGTCATGAGTATAAACGAAACCTAGGGATAACAGAGCCAGGATGCTGGTGCCATAGCAACCCTGGTCCAAAGTGCTTCTCTTCTCCATTTCAACAGAACCCCAAAGAGCATGGGGCGGGCAGGGAGGTCAGACACCATGTGAAGAGCGCCATTGTCCACCGGCATCACATAATCACCCTCGTCTTTTATTCTGACAAACTCTGGCCCCAGCAGAACCAGGCACCCTCATTCTGAAGATGAGAAAACCAAACACAGAGGGGTGGTGCTGGCTGTTGACACGCTAATGCCCAGCTTAAAGACCATGTTTCCATAGATTGAAGTGGGAAGATCATGAATTCGAAGCTAACCTGAGCTAGACAGCGAGATCCTGTCTCAGGAAGGAAGAAAAGGAAGGAAAAAGAAAAGGAAAGGAAAAAGAAAAGGACCCTAATAAAAAGGAGTATTGTCCACCAAATAATTTTCCCAGAAAGCCTCCAGGTGGGAGAAGGCTCCCAAAGCCTGCGCTTCACCAACGCGCTTCCGGAGAAAGCCGAAGAGTGAGAAGCTGTTGACCGAAAGTTGCCGAGCTCTCACGGAGATAGACGAAGAGCTTCGGGAAAGTAGAGCCAGCGCTCTGAAAGGTCGCCCGGCGGAACCACTGCGGCAGGGCGGAAGTGGGGGGGGGTATCGCGTGGCGGAAGAGGCCCGAGGAGTTCCGAAGACCCCGGAAGTGGCGCTGCCGGCGTCCGGACGAGCGGGAGGCATGGCTGAGTCGTCCTCGGAGCGGGAGGCGGAGGCCGAGGCGCTGGCGGCAGCGCGTGAGCGGAGCCTGCGTTTCCTGAGCGGCCTGGAGCTGGTACAGCAGGGCGCCGAGGCGCGCGTCTTCCGCGGCCGCTTCCTGGGCCGCGCGGCCGTGGTGAAGCACCGCTTCCCCAAGAGCTACCGGCACCCGGTGCTGGAGGCGCGGCTCGGCCGGCGGAGGACGGTGCAGGAGGCGCGCGCCCTGCTTCGCTGCCGCCGCGCGGGTGAGGCGGACGGGACGGGGCGGGACGGGGCCCCGAGGTCCGGGAGACGGGGCAGGACGGGGTTCTGAGACCCGGGAGGCGGGAGCGACCGGCGATGCTTAAGGACTGGCGCGCAGCTCCGCAGCTGCCTTTCAGCTTGTCGTTTCGCCTCAGTTTCCCTGCTTCTATCGTTTCCGCTCACCGTCCTCCGCACTCCGTGGGGTAGTTTAAAGCAGCAGGTGCCCTGACAGGCTCTCCGGATTCAGATTCTAAGCGCTGCTTCCCGCGTGGCCCTTCAGTGAGTCGTTACCCCCCACCCCGCGCGCCCCAGTTTCTGTGTATGTAATGGGGATCTGAGGGCTGTTGTGACTATTAGAGGACGTCTGTGAGTCACATGTTTGTATGCTGACAGAGCATTCAATAAAGTCTGATTTCATTAAATGATTCATTTTGTAAAATCTCCGGAGAAACTGAGGCACAAAGGGAAAGCGACTGAGGGTCCCCAGCCACCAGGTGAGCTGCCTGCAGCTTAGCAGCACACCTTTGCTTTTTACACTTACTGGTTTTTAGGTGTCTACTCCACACCAGGACACTGATCTGGGGAAACTCGACAGTGAATAGGCCTGTATTTACCGGCTCTAGCAGAGTTAATGGAGTTATAAAGTAGGGCTCACATTTTCTGTTTCACCTTTTATCCGACAGGGATGGTGGCTACCCTGATCCCCATTGACAGGTCTCTAGTTTCTAGGAAAGAGTCCTGAACGTAGTTGACGTTCAGGAGAGACTCCTGGAATTAATTGGAGCTATGGTTACCACATTACAGTCGCAGAAACAGATATAGAGAAGCTAATGGAGCCTTGAGGTTTCACAACTAATAAGTTGCCTTCCTAGAGAACACTCGCTAACGTGTGTGCATTGCAGGGATAGCCGCCCCCGTTGTCTTCTTCGTGGACTGTGCTTCCAACTGCTTATATATGGAGGAAATCGAAGACTCGGTGACCGTTCGAGATTACATTCAATCCACCATGGAGACTGAGAACAACCCCCAATGCCTCTTGGCCTTGGCCAGGAGAATTGGGCAGGTCCTGGCTAGGATGCATGACGAAGACGTCATTCACGGGGACCTCACCACCTCCAACATGCTCCTGAAACGGCCCCTGGAGCAGCTGCACATCGTCCTCATCGACTTCGGGCTGAGCTTTGTTTCTGGACTGCCGGAAGATAAGGGTGTGGACCTCTACGTCCTGGAGAAGGCCTTCCTCAGCACCCACCCCCACACCGAGGCTGTGTTTGAAGCCTGTCTGAAGAGCTACGGTGCTTCATCCAGGAAGTCCAGTCCAGTGCTGAAGAAGTTAGACGAAGTGCGCCTGAGAGGGAGAAAGCGCTCCATGGTCGGGTAGCAGGGTTGCTGTGACGACTGTCTCACAGTGAGAATGCTGTGCACGGCCCGACCTCAGGCTTTGTTGTTGTTAAGTGGCCTGTGGCCGTGCTGCGCCACTGTCATCTGGGTTCCGCTGATCTCCGGAGCTTAATGTACATAAGGCCTGTTCAGGCAGAACTGGCTGAGTAGCCCAGGCTGGCCTCAGATTGGCTGTGTGTGAGGATAAATAACCGTGAGTTGATCTGCATCCATTGGAGTGTAGGTGTGTGCTCTTATACCTGGTTTATCAATGCTCAGGGCCTCACACATGCCAGGCAAGCACTCTGCCAACTGAGCTACACCCCCATCCCTAGAACAGGGTGTTTCAGACCAATCCAAACAGACTTTCCTCCAAACAGTGGTTTGTGGATGTCATGCGTGGCACGTGGCATTGAGCTCAGAACAATACTCTAGTACTGAGGGATAAATGCGGACTCAGTTTGGGATAGCGTTTCTCTCTCTGCCCTCTAACCTGGTAGGGTTTTGTTGTGTGTACGAAGACTGTGCTAAAACCAGTTTAGTGGGATATAACCTCACTTTCCAAGAGCAGAGTAGACTCTGGGACATGGTGGACTGCTTTCAGAAGCTTGTTTCAGGTGTGTATTTTTACATGGGTGTGTTTGGAGTTCGCTATAAAAGGTGAGGGGCTGGAGAGGTGGCCTTGTGGTGCTCAGTTCCAAAGGACTCTGGTTCGGTTTCCAGTGCTCCAACTCCAAGGCATCCAGTGTCTCCTCAGGCACCTGTACTTAAGTGCACACGCCCCTCCTCCCAAACACACACTTAATTGCAAATAGTAAGGATAAATTCTTAAAACATTTTTGGCAGTTGCAATAAAAAGATGAAAAAATAGTACTCAGCGTGTGGGGTTTTACTGCTCCGTATCCACAGTTTTGAAGCTCATGGAGGTACAGAAGGGAGTTGGTATCTCGTGCAGTGGAGAGGCAGAACAGAGATGAAGTTGGTGAGGCGGTGGACAGAGTCTGAAAGCTGGGTTCTAAGGGGACCAGGACTGTTCCATTCCCCATAACTACCGCTGCCTGAGTGTGCAGCGTGTGACAGATGGTCAGGAGAGGATGAAGATGTCCCTTCCTGGGTAGCTGTCACTAGTACAGATTACTGTTGCCTGCTTTGCTACTGCATGCCTGGTTCTGTGCCAGGAGTTTTCATAGGGAGCTGTGAAACAGCTCTCGGGTGGTGGGCTGGACAGACGATGCCAGCTCAGGTACCACAAAAAGCAGAGGTGCCCTTGCCAGCGTTCTTCCACTGAGTTTCAGGATTTTTTGGTGAGATAAGGTCTAAAACTAACCCAAGCTAGCCACCACCCCAGTGGCTGAGTTTGCATGTGTGAGCCACCACACCAGGCTTTCTACTCACAGGACAAGAAGCGAGACACCGATTTGTGTTAACATCTTCAAAGACTTCTAAGGGCCAGAGGAGCTGGCAGTAACCTTTCAGCACGACTGAGGTGGTCTGCCTTAGTTTCCTCACGGCAAGGGTGATTGCATGGAGAAATGACTGGTGTACGTACGTACACACACACACACACACACACACACACACACACACACACACACACACACACACACACACACACACACACACAGAGTCAGCAGACCTAATGCTCACTGTGCTGGTCCTGGAGAGTTGAGAGGGGCAGGGAGGCTAGACTTCCTTTCCTGTAGGACACATTGCAGAGCCACATAACCAGCTCATTGGTGAGGAAAGATGTGAAGAAGACCAGTAATTTAGGAACTTAGGAGCTCATTTCAGGGGAAGGATGGTCGCATGCTAGGATGGTGAGAAATAAGTCCTGTGGGACAAGACCAGTGTGGCTGGCATGCCACAACTGAGGAGGAGGAGCAGAAAATGAGTGAGGAGATGGGCAAGGGTCAGTTCATGCGGGGTACCCTGTCAAGATAGTTTTGTGGCCCTCCTACAGTTTTCATTTGTTTTTTAAGATTTATTTATTATGTATACAGTGTTCTGCCTGCAGGCCAGCAGGGGGCACCAGATCTCATTACAGATGGTTGTGAGCCACCATGTGGTTTCTGGGAATTGAACTCAGGACCTCTGAAAGAGAGCAGGCAGTGCTTTTAACCCCACTGAGCCATCTCTCCAGCCCCCCTCCTAGGGTTTAAGCAGGGTGACAGCTTCATCCTTTCTGGGTGTGTTGGCTGCTGGTATACAGAGAGCTATGGGACAGGCGTGGAAGTGAGACTCTTGAAATCCACAGGCAGTGACCTGGGGAGGAAGTGGCGGTGAGCACGGTGTGAACTACTGGACCTGGGGTTACCCAGCGCCGTGTGGCGCTAATGGTGGCAACAGCACTGAGGATAAAACCTGGCAGGTGTGGAGAGGGGGAGGGGCTGGTGTTGGAGGTGATGAGCCTCGTAGATGCCCCGCAGGAGTCTGGTCCATCTGCACTCAGTCTGCCTATGATGAGGGGTGAACTAGCTCAGGGATGGAGGGGCCCAGGAGGCCTGATCAGCTCCAGATCCTTCATCTACAGGGAGCAGCAAGTGTTTGCTGGGATGAGTCAACAGCTTGGTGCAAGGCCCAACCCATTTGTGAGACTGTTCTCCGGTCACCTGAAGTGGCTAGAACTCAAACCCCAGGTTTGACAGTACTAGCCCAGTTAGAGTCACTAAGATCTTCACGCATATTAAAGCATCTTACAGGAGAAGCAGATGCAGACCACGGCCAAGCATAGGTGGAACCCAGGGAACCCTGCAGAAGAGAGGGAAAAGGATTGCAGGAGCCAGAGGTCAAGGGCACCACAAGAAAACTCGAGAGGCCAAATTGAGAACCAGGGAGCCTGCATGGGACTGCCCTAGGCCCCCTGCATATGTCTTACCACTACGGTTGTGTAACGTGGGACTCCTAACAGTGGGAACAGGCACTGTTTGAGTCTTTTACTGGCTTTTGGAACCCTACTCAGACTGGATTGTCTTGTGCAGCCTTAATACATGGGGAGGTGCTTAGTCTTACTGCGATTTCATATGCCGTGTTTTGTTGGTATCCATGAGAGACCTGCCCTTTCCTAAACAAAAACAGGAGAAGTGGGTTGGGGGGTTGGGAGCAGAAGGGACAGGGTGGGAAGAGGCACTGGGGGTGGGGAACTGACTGGGGTATAAAATAACATTTTAAAAAATAAAATAAGGAAAGCATCTTGCTGGAGGCTACAGGCACAGAGGAATGAAGGTGGCCTTAAAGTCACTGAGTGGCACACCAACACATGTCCAAGCCTGAGAGAACCCGGGCCAGTATCTCCTCTGCTGTAACTGCTCTTGCAACCAGTCCTTGGGTCCATGAGTAGTGACCGCCCCTTTAAAAGTTGGCGTGGTAGGTGCCTCCTGGATAGTATGCTTGTAAATGAGATGAATGGGCCATGCCCTCACGATACTGCTGTTTTGGGAAGGCCCCACTTGAGGTGGGGGTGGGGTGTGAGCTATAACTTCAAAAGCAGAGCCAATGTTAATACTGGCTCCAGGGAAGCTGCAGTAAGCCATACTTGCCAATTTGAGATTCTATTTTGTTTTGTTGGGACAGGTTTTTTTTTTCTTTGTAGTCCTAGCAATCCAGGCATCCATTCTGTAGACCAGGCTGGCCTCAAACTCACAGAAATCCACCTGCCTCTGCCTCCCAAGTGCCGGGGTTAAAGGTGCGAGCCACCACACCTGGCTCCCAGTTGGATTTTTAAGATTAAATTGTGGCTATTGAACTTTTGGCGCTTGATTAACTTTGAATGCAGGCAAGCACCTCGCTGCCTTTCCAGTCATAGTGCCATTGCCCATCCAGTCCCCATGGACAAGCCCCTCGCCAGCAATCCCTCACCAACAATTTGGGCAAGTGGAGGCTTGATTCGGGGATCTAACTCCAAGACAGTGTCTGTCTTGTGCCACTAGAGGTCGCATGTTACCATCACCGTGGAGCAGGTAGAGATGAAGAAAAGCTTCCCTCGCCCACCCCTCCCCTCCCTTCTGACACTTGTTGTCCCCGCCCCTGCTCGCCATTGTTCCCGGCCCTCCCCGGCACCTGCTCACCAGGTGACCTCACTGCCACCTCAGCTGAGTGGATCATCCGCACTCAGACACCAGTGGTCGCTCTGCCACAAGCAAGACATAAGTAGCTGGCTCTTCCCGCCCCGGTGGGTGTCTCACGCCTCCCCTTCTTCACCTAGATGTTGGGTGAGCACTTGGCTGGACTATGGGGCAGCCCCAGTGATGGGGAAGTCCTATTGATGGCCCTGGGGCCCCTGGTCCCTGCTGAACACCAGGACTTCCTCCCGGGGCTTCCTGTTCCTGCCTGGCCCGCATCCCCCACACTCTGCAGGCAGATGAACACTTTTTGAAAAAAAAAAACTTTTTAAAATTTACATTGGGGGTGGGGTTGCTGCATGCGGAGGTCAGGGGGTGCGTGAGAGCTGGCCCTGCTTCCGCCATGTGAGTCCCAGCTGTTGAACTCCGGTCTTCAGACTTGGCAGCAGGTGCGTTTACCTGCTGAGGCATCCCTGGGCCCTCTTCAGTCCGGCTGCGCTGCTCCAGTGTTGGATGGGTCTTCCATCCGAGCCTCCTTGTTTTTAGCTGCAGGTCGGGACCCGTCCTGCACTTCTGGGTCCCGGTCCTCACCTGGAGAAAGAAGAGTTGTGCCTGTGTGTGGTGCTTGTCTCTGAGTCACCCTGAGCAGGAGGAACAGGCAAGGACTCAAGCCAGCATGTGGACACCCACAGCCAGATGGCCGTCATAGATGTCCCACGATGGGATGGGGTGGCGGGGCCTTTGCTGTCCCACATTACAGTCCCCAGTGGCTTCCCTGGGGTGAAGCAGGAGTTTGAGGAAGGCTACCATCTGCACAGGGGGGACCCACAGCCCCTTGGCTTGACAGTTGGAGGCTGACTAGTGTCCCTGCCTGAAATAAGTCCTTCCTTGAAGGGGGCCTGGGCCACACATCAGTATGCACCACAAACACGGATGTCACCATTCACGTGGGACACGGCCAGAACGCTGGGCACACCACAGTGAGCAGTCACTCAGGTGATGGTGCTCACAGACCGAAGGCGGGCCATGGCAGTCGGCTGTACACCAAGCAGCCAGGGCAGTTTCTGCTTCCCTCGCTGAAGAATCTGCATTTCTAACAGGATGAGAAGCAAAGGGATGCCAAGAGGAAAGCTGAAATGCATGCTGGGAAGAGACAGCATCTTCCAGGTGAAGGAGCTGAGTCAGCTTTCCCCGGAGCTGTCAGACACCCTGGGCTTCCTACGGAGCCGACCCCAACTGCCATCACACAATGTAGCATTTATCTGGGAAATCATTAGGGGAGGGTCAGTTAGTCCTTGACAGAGGGTGGCGCATGACTGCTGGCTGGGCAATGAGCCTCCTTTGGAGGATTTGGTTCTGATAGGAGGGGACCTGGGGGTTCTCTCTCTGTATAGACATATCCTTCTCAACAATTCCTGCTCTTATTTGTTTAGTTTTTTTAGGGGGCAGGGTTTGAGACAGGGTGTCACCATGTATCTCTGACTGTCCTGAAACTCACTATATAGACCAGGCTGGCCTTGAACTCACAGAGATCTGCCTGCCTCTGCCCTCTGAGTGCTCCGATTAAAGGTGTGCACCACCATGCTCAGCAACAGTTTCTGCTTTTAAAATATGATGGCTGGAGCTTCTGTAGCCATCTTGAGATTTCGAGGCCACAACAAAGGTAGTCAAGCCGAGGAAGACAATGAGGACAGAGGCAGGGGCGGGGGTGGGGGCGGGGGCGGGGGCGGGGGCGGGGGCGGGGGCGGGGGCAGGGGCAGGGGCAGGGGCAGGGGCAGGGGCAGGGGCAGAGGCAGATGGAGAGCGAGCCTG